CCTTGGAAATGGCCCTGAATAAAGAACAGCTATTTTCTGTGCTCCTGAACTGAGGAGGAAAGGAATTTAGCAGGAAAAAAAAATCTGTGCTGTGGAGGATGGGTTTTTAAAGAAAGCCTATTGAGTAAATGTCATCAGTATTAAAAATGTGATTTCCCCTCAGTCATTTCCATAGGAACCAGCCTTTCTAAGTTTTGGGCATCCTCCCTGAAGGATTATTTAAGGCTCAGGATGAGCAGTGAGCAATCCTGTAAGCGGGGGGTTGCTTTAAGGCTTCTGTATTGTAGGCAGGTAGAAGAAGCAGTTTTAATCAGTGGGGAAAGGTGGGATTTTAGTTGCAGAATTGTAAATCAGCAATTTACAACTCTGTCCTATAGCCATGGAAGACAGCCAGATCTGGTCATCAGATGTGTGCCTTTTTTAGGTGCAAGTACTTATTTTAGGGCATCTTTAGATTACTGCCCTTGTGTTTTCTGGGCTGCTGAATTCTGCATGATTGCACTGCGAGCAATTGAGGCACTTCAATTTCCTGCGTATAGAAATGAGCTCAATGCCAATTTTTTTTTTTGCAGCTCTAAGGCATTTCTAAAATAGCTTTTCTGTGTGACATCATATGCAGTAGGAACACTGTTTCAGGCCCGAAGTGTCAGCTTATCTCCAGTCCTTTGAAGAGAGAGTATTACGAAGAGCTGGAGCCAGGACTCAAGAGACACAGCGCATGCCTGTGCTGTAGGGTGAGCACAAGCCTGTACCAGAGGCCAAGTCCACTGACCTTCCTTGGGGAGAAGCCAGCACCCCAGCAGGGCTGAGCTGAAGTTAGGGACCTTCTGGAGTGAGGAAAAGGAGCTGAGCTTGGGTGTGCTGTGCAGACCGGTTTCCCCATGTAGATCGTGCAGCAATGTCACACCATCATCACGGAGACTGGCTGGGTTGGGCTCCTTCCTTGGTGGACCGTAAGGTCATCAGGGTGTCATCAGAGTGAAGCTTGGGCCTCTCCTGCATGGGGTGACTGCCACCAGGCCGCATCATCCTGGGTATGCAGGTCTTGCTTGATTTCTGAAGCTTGATAAAGTCAGGCCAAATTAGTAGCTGGATGGAAGGCTGCTTGGGAATACTGGGTGCAGTAGGCTTGCAGAAAATGGCCTGGGTGTCCTGATGGACAGCAAGTTGAATATGAGCCAGCAGTGCACCCTTGCTGTGAAGGAGACCAACTGCATACTGGGTTTTACTGGCAAGGAAGTAGCCAGCAAATCAAGAGGAGTGGCAGTTCCCCTCTACTCAACACTTGTGGGATCACATCTGGAGCACTGTGTCCAGTTTTGGGCTGCCCAGTGCAACAAGGACATGGATATACAGGGGCCACCAAAATGATCAAAGGTCTGGAGCATGTGACTGATGAGGAGAGGCTGAGACAGATGAGCTTTTCTTCAGCTTAGAGAAGTGAGAGCTAAGAGCTAATTGTTGTCTTCTGCTGCCTAAGGGACGTTTGTAGATAACACAGACACAGAAGTGTGCAGAAGTGCACAGTGAAAGGACAAGAGGCAGTGGGCATAAGTTACAACATGACAAATTCTGAGTAGATATTAGGAAACATTTTTTCCCCTGAGGGTGTCCGAACACTGGGACAGGGGTCCAGAGAGGCTAGAGAAATATCTGGCTTGGAAATACCAAAACTTTAATAGCTCAAGGTCTTAAGCATCTAATATAAAGTTGCATCTGACTGAAAGGTTGGCCCTACTTTGCGTGTGTTTGGGAGCACTCAAAGGAAAGTCAGACTGGAACAGATACGGCCCCACGTGCTTCAGGTCAGGTTGAGCGTGTCTCACTGAAGACCCAGAGCCTCAACACCCTCCCAGCCTGCAGGAACTGACAGCCAAGTCTCTTCTTCATCTTCCTCCCTTCTTAGCGTCTGATGGCTGCTGCAGGATGACAGTTCGCCATCTGTGCCCATGTACAGCCAAAAGGCCAAGGTTCCCCAAGGTTGGGAAGAGATGGAAGCATTTACTTTAGAAAGAAGTGGATAGGGACCTCAGAATTTGAGGACCCTGATCCTGCCTTCAGGATGAATACCCTGGTCATAGAGTGATGCTTTTCTTCCATGCATTTCCTCTGTCCTACTGTGCAGAGGCACACCTTTAGCAGGAGAGAGAAGGAGCTTCTGTCCAGGGTAGCCTGTTGCATGAAGGAAGAGTGGAAAGCAATGAAGCAATCTTCTGGGAAGTGGAAAATGAGATGTCTCAAACACTTTTATACCAAAGGAGTGAAATATAGGTTGAACATTGGTTCAAACCACTGGACTGTTACAACTACCCCATTCCCCCAGCCAAATTAACTTTGGTCTTTTTTGTGCCTTCTCTCTTCTCTCCCCTCCCTGGATACCATCGTTATTCTAGAGGTCCCTGAGGACCAGGCCAGACCGGGTTCCTCCTGAAAAGCAGGTGTGGAGTTGGGTATATCTGGGCAGGCTTCTCACAGCATCGAAACAGTTGTCAGCCAGGGAGACGTGATGAGGGAGGAACTGCTGGGGTTAAGTGGTGGCTGAATGGGTTGTGGTTTGGACTGGGGTTTAGGTGCGTAAACCCTTTATTGGATCTACCCTGGAGCTCTATTCCCAGCCCTGCCTGTGACACTGAATAGGTCACTCCATCCCTGAAGCTGTCTCCCCCTTGATCTGACTGCTGGGACTTTCTGTTCTCTGAGGCAAAAATTGCTACATACTGCTTGGCGTAACACCGAGTACGATGGAGTTTTAATCTTGTTTGAGGAGTCTCACTGAAACAAGAAGACAAGCAAACACTGAAATCAATTTGGGAGGCAGGCAAAACTCACTTCTGGCCTTCTTGAAACTGTGCCAGCAAGCCATGTAGTAGATGATAGTTATGAATAATTTTTGGGATGCCCCAGGTTGCAGCAGATGGCAGACACTTCAGAAGCAGTATTGCTAGCAGTGTCCTGCCAGGACATCCTCTGCTAAATAAGTAATTGTTTGTGTCCTCAGCAGATAAAACAGTAAAGCAAGAACAGTAATATGGCCCTGGCCAGAGTTATGTCAGAAAGGCAATGCAGAAGGGGGAAGGGAAGGATAGTCATGTCCTGGCAGAGGTCCTGCATATCTTTACGCAAGTTGCTTAAGACCAGATTTACAAAAGCATTTCCATCCCTCACCGAAGCTCCCAGAAGTATCCAAGTCCGTGTCTCCCTTAAGCTCAAGTCCCCTTGTGTTTCAGAGGGAGTTGTATATATCTTTCTATATATCTATTTTGAGCTGTGTGAAAAAGCAGGACCAATTTTGATCCTGACTGGGGCTTACTGGGACTCCTATCTGGTCTGTGCATCTGGGCTTTTTGTTCCTGAGTGTACAGGACATTTGTACAGGGAGGAATGGGAAAGCTGTTGTGCATTCAGCACTTCCCTCATGACAAAGCTTTGACACAGCTGGATCCATGACCTAGCTGGATGTGCTACAAGATCACCCGGATAGACGCAGCCTTTAAGGATCTGCATGTGGGTCAGTCTGTATCTCAGTGTCCTGTTTTCAAAGTGGGCATACTTGACCTGTGTTTTACCTAAAGGCTGGAGCAGTCATATCTGGGAGGAGGACTCAGGCTGCATGATGCTCAGCACGGTGGTGAGGTGCCCATCTACTGTACAGCACATGATGCTCAGTAGGCATCAGCACTAGCAGCGCTCTATAAGGTGACTGGGGCACTTGCGGAGCACTTGGACGCAGAGCAGCTAACAGGAGATCCCAGAGCTGGGGAAGTCTCCAGTGGAATATATATGAAAAGGATTTCAGGGTTGGACACCTCCTCTTGGATGTGAGTGCTTTGACCACAGCTTTCCCTCCAAGGCGAAGCGTGGGCGGAGGAGGCCACCTCCTTGGCCTGCAGCCTGGGGGTTTGAATGCTTGCCTAGGAAACAGGCTCAGCTTTCTCCAGCATGAATGACCTCTCACATCTTGAGAGTTCCTGGCCACAGAAGTGGCGGCAGCTCTCACCACACCTGTTGAAGTGAGCTAATGCACAGCTGAGGGTGCAGAGCCTTGCTTCTCAAAACCTGGCAAGAGTTGCATGGTGGTTGGAGCACTTGGCTCAGACAGGGAAGAATTGTGGCCCCAATCCAGCTCCCAAGAGGGTTCATGTGCTACATGGTCACTCACACGCTGCTGCAGGGTCAGAGCAGAGGCCCTGACAGCTGGTAAGTTTGAGAGTTCTCTGCTGACCTGCTCATCAGCCATTGCCTCCATGTAAGCATTGGCTTGTATACATGACGAACAGTTTCCAGGGATCTGGTAAACAGGAATGCAGAGCTTGTTAGACTTTGGTTGACAACAACTCCTCCAGAACTGAGGCTGGATAGCATCCCCAGGGATTCTGCAAGCCGATCTGATGGATTGTTGTGCAAACAGTCCACCCATCAGCCCTCCCCAAGGAACCGAGCTGGTCTCTCACCTCCTCTCTCTTCTGCCCACTGCTCCCCAGAAATCTTGCTCCATGTTCTACAGAGTTGGTGGCTGCTCTTGGATTCCCTTCAGTGCTAGACAGCTGGCTCCCTGCTGAGGCCAAAGCTTATGAGTCCTGAAGATTTTCTCCCTTTCATTCTCACAAATGAAGCTATTGAATGCAGTTTTAACCTGAAAATAATCTGATTGTACAAGGATGTGCGCATCTCTGGAACTTTAGGACTAGCATTTTCATGGTATTTAAGTGATGTAGTGATCTGTGAAGGCACCTGCTGGGATTTTGAACTGTTTAGGTGCCTGACTCTCTCTGAGATCAGTGGGAGTTGGTAGGCGTTTCTGGAAATATCAATGACTTTTTTTTTTTTTTTTTTTTTACTATTCTTTAAAGCCTGGAAAAGAATGGAGGCCTCAGAAAGTATTTTGTCTCTAGGGTATTCCTTAGCAGAGTGGTTTAATGTCCTCTAATGTTAATGTGCTAACAACCCCACTCCTTTTTACTGAGCTGTAATAACTTGCTGTTTCTTTTCTTTCTCCTTAGCTCCCAGAATGGAGAGGAAGGTGGAGCTTGGCCGAACAACCAGTTTGACACGGAAATGCTTCAAGCCATGATCCTGGCTTCAGCGAACGGTCAGTCTCCATTCCGTATGGCAAAAACGCATCATTTGTTATTGCATAGACATCCCAGGCGCGTGCAACTAGATGAGATGCTTGTGTTATTGATGTGTTTGGCATAACTGGAGGAGCTGAGATAGTTTCTGAAGTATGTAAAGAGACACTGAATGAAAAGCACCGCTTGAAAAGCACTGCTCTCTCTGTTACCCTGTAGAAAAGAGGGTTCAGAAAGGACTCAGGCAAAAGAGATGCAAGGTAGTCATCAGCAGCAGGCATGCTGTAGACGGGTATCTCTTCCACCTGAGATGTATTACCCATGAATTAGACAGAATGTTATCTGGCTCATGTGTGGGGATTGTGTTGATTGGAAGAGCTGGTCTTGAGATGTGTTTTAAGCTATCTGGTTCCAGAAGGTCACAGTGAATGAAGTATCTGCTCTGGTGGAACTTGGCATTAGGAAATAAGGCAAAAAGCTTGAAAGATTTGCTTGGGGCCAGAGATAGGGCCTGGGTGAGTGGTATCAAAAATGCAGTAAATGCTGCCTGAGTCAGTCCACTTACTCTAGGGTCCTATATTTTAAGGTTACCAGAATCATATTCCCAAACAAAAGCTTGAGGCTGTTGCAGGGAAACAGGTCCCTTTTTCTTGTCATGTAGGGAATACAGGAGAGTCTGTTATACTCCAATATAGAGTAGGGAATATCCTGTGTCAGGAGCAGAAGAAATGTTTTAGGAAGGATCTGCATGTCTTAAAATAAAATAAAATACCACCCTCAGGCTTTGTGTTTGGAGATGTGGGTAGCGAGATGGTTCCCACCAGCATGTGCCCTGTGTCTGGGGGGTTGTTCTGGCTGCAGCTCGCTGTGAGGTGGGCTCTGGGCGGCTGAGGACTGAGCAAGACTCTGCCCTACATCCTGTTGCCAGTTCTTTGTTTGCAGTTGTTGGGACTTGGTCTGACATTGTTTAGATGCTTGGTTGGCTTGTTCTGATTAATGGCTGTGTTGTGTGAAAGTAGTGGATGTAGAGGGGTGTTTCTGTGAGCCTGCAAGCTCCATGGCTTTATATAAAAGAAGTGCAATTATCACTCTACGCAATGCTCAGGATAAAGAGGCTGGTTTTCCTAAAGCCTTTATTTATAAATACCACCAACTCTTCGAGATTTAAAAAGAGCACAGGCGGCGCAGCCATAAAACCCTGTGTAAAATGCTTAGGATGCTTCCTTTGAGCTCTTGGGAGAGAAGGAATCTGGGGGAGGAGGGGCTCATATGGTGTTGCTTTCTTGGAAAGCTGCTTCAGCTGAACTATGCCTCTCTGCAAGGCTCTCTGCAGACATCAGGCAGCCCAGAGACACAGTTGTGGCGGCCGGGTGAAGGGATGAACGTCTTGGGTATTAGACTTGTTTACACACAGGGAAAAGAAACAACGTGAAAATGTGTGTCTGTTCTGGAAAAAAAAAAAAAAAAAAGACCATGGAAAAATAGCCTCCAGGGGCCCATCTGGTTATCATCATGCAGAGCCTCCAGATCCAGTTTCCCTGCTCACAAATAAAACGGTTTTGCTGCCTGCCATTCCAGCAGCTCCTCAGATCTGAAAGCTGAGCCGGTTCCTGCCAGGTTAGACCTTGGTTCCGCCTTGCGCTGGGTCCTCTCATGGCAAATCTCCCCCAAGTCCAGGCATCTTAACCTCTCCCACGCCTCTGTCTGCCCGGGGGGCTAAATTAAATCAGCTCCATCCACTAGATCAAAGCAACTTGGTGTAGCCCCAGGGAGAAGCTGGCTCAGTGCAGTTACTTCTTTTCCTGCCCGCTCTTGGTACTTGGCTGAGGGGAGAGGGATGGGGCCAGGATGGGGGCACAGCACAGGAACCCATCTCCAGTGCAGCAAGGAGCCCCCAGATACTTTTCTTTTCACGGTAACGGTGTTTTCACCAGTCTTCCCCCCACCCATTTCCTCGCATGCTGCCCTCATTCATTAGGGTAAGAGCACTGATGGGGCAGGCTTTGATGCAGGGCAGATGTTACGGCTGTAATTGGGTGTTAAGCTTTGCACTTATCCATCCTGGGGTAATGTTTGGTGGCTTTTTAAATGACAATTGCCTCCTTTTGTTGCCTACTAAGCTCTGCTCGAGCTATGGAGATGCAAAGAGCCGTAGCTCCCCATTACAGTGGTGAAAGCACCCTGTGCCATTCACTTAGGCCAAGTGTTCTCAGCATGAACTCCTCTCTGCACAGAGCAGGCATATAAACCACTTCAGGCATCTGGTTAGTGCTCAGAGTGAAGTTAGTGCTCAGGTCTGCACTTACTGGGGACTTGGGAGGTTGAAGCTCCCCTGATGCTGCTTTGCTCTGTGAGCTTCCCTGCTGTCCCATCTGCATCCATGGCCCTGTGCCACCGTGTAGGAGGAACTAGAGGCAGAGCAGTGAGCTTGCTTGGCTATTCCAGGCTCGGTCAAGCCAGTCTCCCTGAGGATTAAAGCAGTTGCCACTACTGCTTCATCCCCTTCCAAGGCGGACAGCAGCTAACTTGGGTCTGAAGCAGAGAGCAGCTGCAGGGACAGGACCAAGGCCTGGAGCTATTTGACCTCACAGGGCTGCAGCTTCTGCCTCCATTTCCAGGGACCCTCTGGATCCCCCTCCAAGCTGGGAGACCTCGTTTCCTGATTACTTCACGGCTTGGCCCATGCTGTCTCCCTGACAGTGTCTCCTGTCCCATGTTTTGAGTAAAGGGTCTTCCACTTTCTGCACTGGCTGTACACACTCCTTACTGTGATAAACAGCTGATCTAGCAGCAGGGATAGCGAAAACACCGTTTTAACAGTGTTTTCAGCAATGCTTTCCCATGCTGAGCATCCAGGTCTTCAGGATGGGGGTGTTAAGGGAAGAGAGGGACTGCCCGGAGTTCCTGTGCCATATCCCTGTGGATTGAGCCTTGCAGTATATTTGAGTGACTGCCTTTATGCTCCCACTTTCAAAGACCTGGGAACTGCTAGTGGTTTGTAAAGCTAGTGATTTTAGCAATCTGAAAGGACAGAGGCAGCTGCAAAGACGAACCAAGGAGTGCAGACGCTCCAGGAAACCGGACAGTGATGGCTAAGCTTGTGAGGCATCCCGTCCTGGGAAATCTCTCTTGAAATACTTTGTCTCTTTTAGCCCAAATTTATTTATATGGGCGCCACGAGACAGCCAGCAAGACGGCGCAGTCCTTCTCCTGCAGACAGAAAGGCAGCCTGAGAGGACCCTTCAGCCCACAGGCTCCAGCAGATGCTCTATATTTGGGCCCCCTGAAAGCCCCTCCAGCAGCTGCACCAGCAAGTGCTCGGGGCCCAACTCCCTAAATCTCATCCTCCCCTCCAGAGGCGAGCTCAGCTCAGGAGGGAAACGGAGACACTTGGTTATTTTTGCCCAAGTCCAAATTGTTTTCCTCTCGCCCACTGGAAGCTGCTTTGGGGGCTTCAGGAATATTTAGCATATTCCTGAAGGAATATTTCAGATATTCCTGAAGGATAGTCAGGAGCTATTTAGGATAGTGGCTGCTGGTAAAGGCTGAGCGTAACGTTTCGAGCAAGAAGAGCTGTAATGCCCAGCTTGGCAAAAGCAGCTCAGTGCCCATTTGTAAATCTCTGTTGTCCCTGTTCTTGCTTCTTTTCAGCCTTAATGTCAATGTTACCTAGAAACAGCTTTCTGCTCGCTCTTCACTCTTGGACTGGATCAGCTGGTGGGCTGGGAACCTGACTTCTTTCTTTCTTTCTTTCCTCTTTGGAAACCGCTGCCTCCGCAGTGTATTTCATAGGGGAAAGACGCTGCTGAGAGCCCCCAGGCCCCTCACTCCACGAAGCCCCTGAGCACTGGGGATAGAGAGAAATGGGTTGGTGGGACAAGCAGTGCCGCAGGAGTGGGGACTCGCTAAAACGTGCCCCAACCCATGAAGCCCCCGGCCAGGTTCTCTCCATCTGAAGTCCAGCTGAGTCCTGAGAAGTGCTCAAAGCCCAGAAGAAAATCCTCGCACACTCCAGAGGCAATAACCCGCCTGCAAGTTGGTCCCTGATTACAGCCTGGCCTGATGGCCCATCTCCTGTGAGCGCATCCTGGTCCCTAACACCCTTCAGGGGTGGGCCATTGAGTTGGTTGTTAGCGAAATGAGCTGTTGACAAGGTGGGCAATTACAAATCTCCAAGCACCTTTTAAAACAAGAAGAAAGAAGATAAAGCTAAACACAACCCAGGGGGTGAATAGTGAAACCCTGGGATAGGGAACTAGCACAGAGGATTAGTGACAAACATAATTAAATGTGTGTGCACATTCACTGCACTTGTTCTCCTATGTTTTCCCTCAGAGAAGCTCCTAAAAACCGTGCTAATTCAGTGAGTCTGTCTAAAGCAGCGATAGAAAAAGGCTCCTGTCTGTGAATTTTGGTGCTCTCATGCCAGAAAGCAAAACGACATTTCCCCACAGTGTCTTTTGCTGCATTTGTATATGCATCCTTGAGCTTCCTTGGTCCTTAATAAGTAGTATTATGCCTGCTTTAAGACTCGCTGTATGGTTTTCCTCTGTCCATTGTAATAACAGCAGCTGTAGCTTTTCAAATTGCAGTTGCTTAGTATTTCCAATGCCCCTGGTGGGGGAGTAGGTATATACACTGAAGCATTTCAGGGGGGTAGGAAATAAGTGTGTGCCGGGTTTCTGTTTGGATTCCTTGGTGTTCTCCCCAGCCTTTGGTCTGAAGGCACGTGCAGATCTGAGCCCCTGAGAGGAACAACAGGATGTGGTCGTAGCACAATTGATTCTTGTCGTTTGTCTGTCTCTGTGACTGGGAAAGGGAGGGGACAGCAGTTCTGGGCTCTGCTTTGGGCCCCTTGAGCACTTTTTCTCGCAGTGAGGACTCAGCCCTATTGCTAGAGAGGTTGTTTGGCTTGGAGGTACCACATCTGCCACCCCAGGGAGAACTTGGGGCTTTCTCCCAGGCTTTGGGGAGCTCATGTCCTCAGCAGATAAAAGCCCCATTCATGAGAAAAGCGGCAGGATCCTTGCAGATTGGTATCGAATGCAAAGGCAGGATTTTAGCAAGTCCTTTCTAGGCAGAGCTGTGCAGGAATCAAATCCTGGGCTGGTCGTGTTGGAGTGGAGTGCGCAGCTGCTCTTGGAGGCAACGTTGCTCATTCCCTGTCTCCGTGCATCTCCCCATTCCCATTTTGCAGCCTGTGACAGCATCGCGGGCGGTTCTGCAGCCCTCCCAGCCCCCACCGAGCCTCTCTGTGCTGCCTTTTTGCAGCATGTCAGGAATTAATTTGCCTTCCCCTCCCCCTCCGTGGCCTGATCCCAGATCTGGGCTATCAGGCGCACTTCGGCACCGGCTGCTTTGTGTTTCCTAGAGCCATTTTGTGGCACTGCGTGACGGGGATTTTCTTTGGCATGAGAGTGTTCTGCTCCTTAAACAAACCTATATTTAGAAATACTGTGGTGAGGGTTTTAAATGCAGGAGGGGAAAATGCAGAGCCCAATAACAGATTTCCCTTAATGCATTACTAATCGTTATAGCTGTACAGTGTGGTTGTCACGAGGAGCTGCGGTCCAGAGAGGGAGGGGGGACCTGCACTGCAGAGACACTAAGGGATTTCTGCTGCTGCTTGGGCACGAGCCACCTCCTGAAACCGGTGTGTCCCAAGGAGATCTTGGCACGCACGGACAATGTGCCCTGCCGATGGATGCAGCTGACCTGCCTGGCCTTCCCTGTGGGAGGTTTTGGGGATGGAGGAGAGGAAAGACAGGAATGAAACTGCTCCTGGGCTTCCCCCATACCCCGTGCGATGTCCCACTGGGGCCATGTGGCCCCTGGCTGCTTTCAGGCCTGCACCAATCGCCCCATCTCTGGTGGGATGTGCAATGGGGGGGCAGCACGGTGTCCTCCAGCAAAAACCCTGCAGGTTCTGCCTCCCACGGTGAGCGTCTCCCTTCGCGTTAGACTCGTGGACCTGCTTATGTTGCCCTCATCCTCCTACGGTATCGAGGGGGATGTCAGTAATGAAGGCTAAGGACAGTTTGTGGGGGAGAATGATGGCACCAAGGAGGGCTGCACTAAATGCCCTCTGCCTGGGAGAGAGCCTTTCAGAGCATCCCTGGCTGGCTGGGAGGTGCCCAGCTGGATGGGGCTTGGGATGGGCTTTAGGGTATTCCTGGTGTCTCGCTGACGTTAATGGCCCTCTTGTTTTCTTTGCTTCTCTCCCGCGCTTCCCCCAGAAGCTGCTGATGGGAACGCGACTCTGGGCGCAGGAACAGGCACCATGGGCCTGAGCGCCAGGTACGGCCCCCAGTTCACCCTGCAGCACGTCCCCGACTACCGGCAGAACGTGTACATCCCGGGCAGCACCGCCACGCTCAGCAACGCCGCGGGCAAGCGCGACGCCAAGAACGCGGCCTCTTCCGGCGGCAACAAGAAGAAGTCGAACAAGAAGGAGAAGAAGTAGGGTTGACAGGAGACCATCTGCAGCTTAGATCTACAGGGCAGACCTCTCCAGCACTCCCCCAAATTGCAGCCTAGGACGGAGGACGAATGTGAATCTTGCGACGCTAAAGTAGGAAAAGCAACGAATGTATCTCATCATCAGAGCTAGGAGTAGGGTCTCGCTACTGTTAGATCTCATGATGAAACTCAATGTGGAAACAAAACCTAATGAGAGAGAAAAAAAAAAAAAAAAAAAAAAAAGCAAGTGCCCTGTTAATACTAGCTAATATTTTATACAATCCCTCGGGTAATGGAAATATGCAAGGGTAGAAGGTCTTTTAAACATGTCTTTGGATTCGATTTGCTCCCCGATAGTCTGAGAAAGGCACAAGGCTTGTGCTTGGCTTCGCCCAGTGTAAATAATTTTAACAAGATTTTTTTTTTTTTTTAATTTATAGACCTTTAATCATTGTGGAAGGAGAAAGAAAATTCCTAGGTTGGAGCCCATGTTCAAAATTTTGCTGTTTATCTTACCATTAGTGAAATTCACCCTGAGTTATTTATGGATTTCTTGCTAAGAAGTTGGTAGGGAGTGCTTCAGTTCCTGTTTACCTGTTATCCTAAAAAAAGTGTTTATATTGCATGACTCAAAGGGAATATGGTAAAGCTGCATCCTAAACATTTTTTTTTTAAGTGCAACGAGTGATGGCCTGAAATATGAGACTAAAAGTCACCATGTCTGAGACAGGCAATTCGATTTAACCGCAGTGGAAGAGTGTGCCGCTCTCCACTAAGGTGTACAAAAGCTGTCCTAAGGATTATAGAGGTCTCTAAAGAGCAGACACATCTCATACGTTCTTTGCAGTAAATATTTATATGTACAGTAAATGTTTTTTTTTCTCTGGAATTAAAGTTAAGAAAGTCTTAGTGCCCTGCTGCGAGATGGGGGCTGCAGCTCCTTCAAGCAGTGACATAGCCGAGTCCTTACTGAGGCCTTGTGCTATCTGAATAAGTTTTAATCTGCTCGTAGGGAACGGAGACCAAGCTTCACATTTCTGCACATCAGTGTCTGCATGCAAATTATTCACTTCACATCTACAGTAGAGCAGATAACTCCACGGACGTAGAGAAGTCATCGCATGCCCATGCAGCATGGTATAAATACACGGCAGATAAACGAGTCTAGGTGCAGGTCGAGCAGTGTCTATCTAGGGTTCAGTTGGGTTCAGTAACACAAGATGGGGAGAGTTGGAGAGGCCCCATTCCCAAGAGGGGCATTGACGAGATCTGCCCGTGAGTATCTGTGGTTCCTTGGCCTTCAGCATTGGCTACTGAGTTAAGTGACAGCTGGTTTGGTGGCCCTGGGTGACCAGACCTCTGTAAGGGGCACAGGCCCTGGAAATGAGCGTATGTGGTGTTGCCTGCAAAGCTAGTGAACCTGGATGGAGATGGAGTTGGTTGGAGACCCCGGGCTCGGAGGATTCTGGCTCATTGTGGGTTATGTGCGACCACGCTGCACCCAGACAGGTAGACGGGCCTCAACCCAGGTTGGGCCTGCAGCCCAGACAGTTTGTGTTTGGTGTTACCACTGGCTTTGGACTCTTCACCACACAGCCAGAGCAGAAGGACCAGGAATGAGATATCTGCACCATGTGCCCTTCACCTCCCTGCCCCTTCTCCCGCTGGTATAAACGCCACAAAGGGAAGGTGCCTTGTGCCCTCAGCCCCACATCAGCCTGGTCTTGGGGTCTCCCATGTGCCTCACCAGCTGCCTCTTCTCTCCCACATCAAACCAGATGACTGGGACTGGGAAGGGAGACACGGAGCGTTTTTGTAGCGAGAGGGCAAAAGAGAAGGGGATGAGGTAGCCATGCCAGGGTCTGCTAGATTTTCTGGGGGAGGTTGGTTTTTTTTTTTTTTTTTCCTTGCATTTCCTTTAATAACTAACATGTAGGTCACTTGAGCAGATCCAGCCTCCTCCGCTCGGCTCCGGGCACACGGGCGGCGCAGGGGGCCGGCCCCGATGGCTCTCTCTCTCCCTCTGCCCTGGGAAGCGGGACCAGCCGAAGGGAGGACCTTACCTGCATACGAGTTTTGTACTGATCCCGGTCACCTCCTGTGGTGGCGGCACTAGAACCAGTTTACATGATTAGTAAGGCTTACACAATCTCATGTAGTTATTACGTGGCCCTTCTAGAGATGCTGTAGATGAAGCGTAGTGTTTATATTTCTTTTTAATCTGCAATCTGAGGTAGAGTAGTGAGTGTTGTGTATTTAGTGGCGTGTTATTTTTATCTCGGTAACTAACTTGTGGACACCAGTATTTTCAATTTTTCTGTACCTTCTTTCCATGTGGTCTGTGCTCTTGAGTGTACGTGACATGAAACACGTTTGCCCTTTCAATGTGTCTAATATTGAATTATACTTATATATTATATATATGCTTATATCCTTCTTATACCCATATAGACCAACGTCAATGTGTTACACGCAAGTTTTATACTCTAATATTTATATTGCTTTTTTTCTTTGGGAAAAAAAATAATAAAATGGTTTCTTCTGAATAACTGGTGTTGGTTTCTGCAAGAAAGGGAGTGATGGTGCAAAATGACCTGTCCCTCCTCTCTAACTTGTCTGTGTGAGGTTCAGCCCCAGAGAGTGAGTAGCAGAGCTGGGATTGCTGTCTCTGCACTAGCCGTCCTCTGATAGGGCTGATGCTCTTGGGACATCCCTGTCCTTGGGTGCCCCAAGGCTTTGGGGTGCGGGTGGCATGGCCATGGACTGCAGTGCTCTGCCACTGCATGGTGGAGCAGCCCACCTGGCGACCCCATCACAGCCCAACGAGGCCACAACATCCCTGAGGATGCTGCAGCGTGGTCCCTAGCGCCCGTGGGGACCATGTACCCCCCCACCCTGGCTCTGCCCTGACTGTGCTGGGTTGGAAAAGTCCCACTGGTTGGTTCCCCCCATCTGAGTCATGCTAAAACCTTGGCTTAGATTCAGGAGGCCAAGGGCCGGCCGCAGGCCTCACCGTGCTTCTCCTGGTGTCCAGCCTGGCCCTGTGCCCCACTTGCAGAGGGACAGTCACTGCTGGGGAAAGGCAGCAGCTTTGGCAGGGCAAGCAGTTACCCTGAAGTGTCAGGAGGGGTAAATGTGCCCTTGCACACAGAGGGGCTCGTTGCTGTGCACTGCAGGGCCCCAAGCCCCCCCAGCGCAGCAAGGACCCCAGGGTTTGCCGCATGCAACACGGTGCTGGGGCCACTGCGGAGGGACCCCCCGTGCAGCGCGGTCCTCGCTCTGCTTTGGACAGCACTTGGGGAGGGACCCCGCGGAGCTGCTGCTGGGGGCAGCCCCAGCCT